TATATATATATATATATAGAGAGAGAGAGAGAGAGAGAGAGAGAGAGAGAGAGAAGTTCTTACTATGTTGCCCAGTCTGGTCTCGAACTTCTGAGCTCAAGCGATCCTCCAACCTCACAGCCTCCCAGAGTGTTGGGATTATAGGCCTGAGCCACATCCAGCCTACTTCCAGTCATTTCTTAATATACTATGTCTTTGCAACTCCTGGTTGTGAAAATTAAAGAACAACCTTTCTTTTCCAGCTCTTAGGATAACCCTCCATCAGCTTCACACGAGAGGGTTTCTCTCAACCCCAACCCCAGCTCTGTTTTGTTCCATCTTTATGGGTTTTAGGCTGAACTCAGAGACCCAAGATGAGAGAGGACAAGGCACAGGAAGAATGAAGAGGGGAACAGTTGTTGACTTCTACCTGTGCCAAGCACTGTACAAAGTGCTTTGGTATCTCCAATAAACTTCAGAATTATTTTTTAAAAAATAATTACTCCCATTTCATTAACTAACTTGCCTAAAGTCACTCTCAATATGGAGGTGAATTTGGGTTTTTCTCATTTCCAAGCTTAAGCCTTTTTCCATTGCATCACACTGCCAGCCCCTGCCTTCCCCACCAGCAGGGGTCCGTTGCTGATCTTGGAGAGCATCTGAAGCAACGAGCCCAGTGCTCCTTATGCAGCAATGCCAACCAGAAGTTTGTTGATTGATTTTAAACCACAAGCATCCTCCAAACATTAATCTTTAAATCATAAAGAAAGTTTCCTTGGTTTCTCTCATCATCCGTACAATTAAGAAGCTCCATTGAGAGGGGGAACTAAAGGGCACCTGTTGGTTAAATTTGTCATCTCAGTGGATTCCTGTGAGACTAAAACCAAAGTTTTATCTGGAAAATAAACCAAAGGAATCAATATTTTCAAAACCTGAGCCAACCAGCTTTCTGTGAGTTTTATAATATCATCGGTGCACACAACTCATTTGGGGTTTGTCATTTAATTCCTGTGTGTTCCTTTGGGATCCTAGTTTTAGTTTGCAAATCAGATTAGCTGGGCTCAAATCAACTCTCAGGTGATACAAATACTTGTGAAATAATAGGGTTGTTTTGAAAAATAAGAAGATATTATGTTTATAGCACTTGGAATGATTCTGGGCATATAATAAAGCTCAGTAAATATTAACTAGTTATCATGATCATTTATCCTTCCAATCTACCAGGTGGCCTAAAATTTCCACTATTAGAAAATGGCCTTTGAGGTTGGGCAATGTCTCTCTAAAAGCCACTACTTAAAAGATGCTGTTTGGGATCTTTATCTATCAGTACCTACTAGTATCAGTATAATTACACATTTGGTTTCTGTTAGCATGTTATGAATAATGTGCAACTTGGTGATCCATTCCATTGAAAAAGGTCTCATAGGAATGGGGCTCTAAAAAGAGACCATGAGCTGGGATTTTTGTGGCAGGGGTTGTGAAAGGCTGGCTGCTTTGAGGTTTGTTTTGCAGGAAAGCCTTGAATAAAGGGGTGTAGAGCAGGGGAAACACATTTAATTTCAATGTCAAATTTGGTTCTAATCCCAGGGCTACCATTTGCTAATTGATCTTTGACAGGCAAATCACTATTTCAGAACATTTGTTTCTTTATCTGTAACAATGGAACTAATCGAACATATCTCAAAAAGTAGGTCTCAAGATTAAATGAGTTGACATTTGAATGCTTTCAATGAATGCCTGGCATGTCCTTGGTGTTCAATACCTGTTAAAGCCCAAAGCTTAAAGTAGGCTTCTCTTCCCTATTTTCCATCATATCATCTTGGTTATGTCCTTTATAACACTGTTAATAATCTGAAATTGTTTTGTGCAATTATTTGTTTACTTGTCTTGCAAGACTTCGTATTGCTCCCTTGATCCACAAAATATACCGTTGTGATTCTATATTGTGCTGCAGCCACAGCCCTCCAGGCCAACTCTTTCCCTCAGGTCCTAAAGCAGATCTACCCAAAAAATGCAGATTTGGTGGTCCATCGTCCTATAACCTACTTTAGTCCAGCTATAATACCGTTTTTAAAAGCCATTGTCTTGCCGATATTAAGAACAGTCCTCTCACCTCACCTTCTTTTTTCTTCTAACACCATTTGTCACTGTGGACCTCTGCCTGCTCCTTGAAAGCATTTCTTCTCCTACCTATTATGGTGTGATGTGCAACTGCCATGTACTTCTCCTGATTGTACCTTCAGTGCTGATTTAAAGCCTCCTTGGCCCCCGCCCCACCTCTCTTTATCCTCTTCTTCTGGGTTATTGTCTTCATAGCATTTACTGCTATTTGAAATGCTCTCATTTCTTCATCTGTTTGCATATTTATAGATGCATTTGTTTGCATATTTATATATTCTTATCTGGCTTGGGGAGGGCGCAGAAAGTTCTGTTTTGCTCATCACTGCATTACTCAGTGACTGTAACACCGCCTCGTATGTTCTATAGTTCATTACATCTAAAACTCTTTCTGTGATAAGATGCACTATTTTTTTTAGGGACAACAAAAAGGAAAAGAAAAGCTGCCAGTTAAACTATGAGATACTGTTTTCTTATTACTTATAATTTTTATTTTGTGTTTATTTAAATAATGTTTTGAGAATTATTGGACCAGATGTTTTGTATATATGACTCTTTTGCATATGTGAAAAAGAAAATATAAGCAAAATAAATTAACAAAGATGGCTGGATGCCGTGATTCACATCTGTAATCCCACCCTTTGGGAGGTTGAGGCCGGTGGATCACCTGAGGTCACAAGTTGTAGATCAGCCTGGCCAACATGGTGAAACCATGTCTCTACTAAAAACACAAAAATTAGCCAGGCATAGTGGTGGGTGCCTGTAATCCCAGCTGCTTGGGAGACTGAGGCAGGAGAATCGCTGGAACCTGGGAGGCAGAGGTTGCAGTGAGCCAAGATCACGCCAAGATACTCCAGCCTGGGAAACAAGAACAAAACTCCATCTCAAAATTAATTAATTAATTCACAAAGATATTTCTTCTTCCCATACAGAATCCAACTCTCCAAACTCACTCCTTGACTCAGAGACATCAGTGTGTTTTTCCCCACCCTGTCATTTTTTATGCCACTGTCAGCACTGGTGACCCTGCTTTTCTTTAGAGAGCTCTGCTATTGTCTCCCAATACTTTATTCTAAGCTGTTGACACTCATTTTAAGTTTTGATGGTGGTGCTTTTTTTTTTTTATCTTACTACAAAGTATCAATGAAAGCTTTTCCAGACAACAAACAGGACTCGTTTTTCTTCCCAAAATGGTCCTTAAATAGATTTGGGACTGAAATATCAAGGGTATCAGTGTCCCATAAGCCACCAGAAATGACAAGCAGATTGCACATACCCACGCAATGACAACTGTGTATGCATTTCTGCTGTTGCCTGGCTGACAGAGATTATAACATACCACAGGTTGTGAGACGTGTTAGAGATGTTTTTATTTTTATTTTTATTTTGGAGACAGAGTTTTCCTTTGTCGCCCAGGCTGGAGTGCAGTGGTGCCATCTTGGCTCGCTACAAACTCCTCCTTCCAGGTTCAAGCAATTCTCCTGCCTCAGCCTCCCAAGTAACAGGGATTACAGGCGTCCACCAGAATGCCTGACTCATTATTTTTTGTATTTTTAGTAGAGACGGAGTTTCGCTGTGTTGGCCAGACTGGTTGGTCTCTAACTCTTGACCTCAGGTGATCTGCCCAACTCGGCCTCACAAAGTGCTGGGATTACAGGTGTGAGCCGCCATGCCTGGCTGCATTAGAGATGTTTAAAATACGGAGGAAAAAAGTACATCTTATAGTAGTTGAGATTCTCTAGTATGTTCGCTGCAGATATTTACTAAATGAATTAATATATAAACAGAACCAGTGTTACTGCTGTGTAAGCCAACTAAAGTCTAAAATAAATCACCTAAGACAGAAATCCCATGTATTAAGCAATTCTTTGTTTCTTTTTTTATTATTGGCTCATCAAGGTTCAGCAATTATTTCATCTACTTAAATTCTAGAATCAATGAATTCTTTTCTTTTTTTTTTTTTTTTTCAGTAGAGACAGGGTTTCACCTTGTTGGTCAGGCTGGTCTTGAACTCCTGACCTCAGGTGACCTGCCCTCCTTGGTCTCCCAAAGTTCTGGGATTACAGGCTTGAGCCACCACACCCGGCCAATGAATTCTTAGTGATGATAATTCAATCTAGAACAAGTTTTAACATTTTGAATATACTTTTTCACTTCTAATTTTACTTCTCATTCATTGTTTCTTAGAAGTTGAATGCAGCATACTTTAAATTATCTGCTTTAAAAAGATAAGTATTACACAGGTATTTCAGTGGGGTGCCCTCGATTTCTTGTGTTTGAAAAATAGAAAACATTTTATAACAGGTAGTTTTTTTAACCATGAGAGGGCAGCCTTGGTTAACTTATCAAATTCTCGCAAAGGCCTAGCTGGGCAGCCACATTCTACAGAGTGATTCACTGGAGGGGGAGGAGGGCTCCGGGAACCTCAGCCAGCTGTTTTCAGGGTGTTTTATTTGCTGAAGTCTAGTTGTGCTGCCAGGAAGCACATTGATGCTGCTGTTTTTACTTCCTGAGTGTCTTACATTGGCAGTGAAACCTGGTATTACTTATTTAGCAGGCAGATGGGGGATCCAGGGGAAGGAGCTGTCTGGGAAGGCTGACGTGTATCAGAAATTAGGTGGCTGCGGGAGGGGATGCTTTCACAAAGGCCATGTCTGAGATTTGAATCTCTGATAACACATACATACCTATAGTTATGCAAACTTTGTGTGTGTGTGTGTGTGACTCTGTTACCCAGGCTGAAGTGCAGTGGCACAATCTTGGCTCACTACAACCTCTGCCTCTGAGTTCAAGAGATTCTCCTGCCCCAGCCTCCCAAGTAGCTGGGATTACAGGCACGCACCGCCACACCCGGCTGATTTTTTTTTTTTTTTTTTTTACTTTTAGTGGAGACGGGGTTTCATCATGTTTGCCAGGCTGCTCTCAAACTCCTGACCTCCAGTGATCCACCCTCCTCGGCCCCCCAAAGTTCTGGGATTACAGGCGTGAGCCACTGCACCTGGCCCAAAGTTTGAAATATTGTTAGAGACTGGAGAGGCAAAACCATTAAGAAAGGGGAGAGGTTGAAGGTAAGTCTAATGAGGATGGATGTCACGATCAATCAGCATAGATGGTCAAGGAGACAAAAGGGGATAGTGACTTATATTTTACATCCTTATTAGATCATTTATTCCTTCCTTTCTTTATCACACATTATTGAATTTTATACAGAGGCACAACATGAACTCCTAAGCCAGTGAGGGAAACTTCCTAGTAAGCAGATAATTGCAGTTCAGTCTAAGTGGTAAATAAAAATATGGACACAGTATCATGGGAGTACAAACTAGGAACTAACTTTGTATGGAGGATTGAGTCCTGGATTAAAGATCTGGGCAGCATAGGGTTAGACCCAGGCCTGTTAGTGTAGGCCTGAGCACAAATAATGTAATGACCAAATAATGTAATGACCATTGTAATGTAGGAGAAGAGAGCGCTAGTCAGTCTGAATCTCATTCTGTGCCTCACTCTTTTATAGAGAGAACTTTTACTTTTCAGTGCTAGCCCATCTCTATAGTGATGAGAGCAGTTACTAAGGTGTTCCTAATGTCTTTACAGTTAAAAGTCCTTCTATGTTAGCTTTACCAACTGAGCAATGAGAACATATGGCAGCATGCACTCATTCATTCCACAGACATATAATGAAGTCCCCAAATGCGCCAGTCACGATGCTAGGAATTAGTGGTATATGAACAAGCACAAATCCAATCTGCATCCCAAGTGCTCACAATCAACTAAGGAAGAAGTTATAAATCACTGGACAAAGTTAATTCTTCATGCAGATGGGCAGAAATTTTACTTTTCCTCAAGTTCTCGAGCCTAGTAATCATACAATGTTTCCTCATTAAGTTTCTTAATCATAAAAAGATCAGGATGAGCTTCAAAAGTAGTAGGGATGAAAGTGGTAGAAATCATCATATTTTGTATTAGTCTTAGCCCCAAGTTATAAAGTGAATGTCCTACCATGTTCCTTACAAAAACATAAGAACAACAACAATAGCATTGGTTGCATTCCAGGGCTAAATAGGAATGCAAAACAGGTCATGTACAGTTTTGATATTGCTGTATCAGAGGTTTGCATCGTGATTAGAGGTGTATTCTGAATCATGTTAAAAAAAGTTATTAAAGAGATAGTACAGAATCAGTTTCACTTTTAAATTAATTAATTTATATCTTATTCACTTAAAATCATCTTATTCACTTAAAATCATACTTACATACAAGTATATACTTGTATGTGTACATGTTTATTTAGTGTATGGCATGTGTATGGACCCAAGAAGGCCACCCTGCAGTTTCCCTGAGATCTTTGGCCTCAGAATATCTTCTATACTCCTGAGCCCTTCCTAAGAAAACCCGTTTACAGTTTCTTTCCTGTGCACTTTCTTACACTGAACACTTGTCTGTATTCTCAACCAGGAATCAGCAAATATTGTCTGTAAGAGGCCAGGTAGTAAATATTTTAAGCTCTGCTGGCATCTAGTCAACTCTGCCTGCCATCGTAGCACAAAAGCAGTCATAGACAATACATAAGCTAATGAATGTACAAACATAGACGGCAGGTCAGATTTGCCCTGCAGGTCATACTCTGAAAATCCCTGTGCTGAATCATTTGACCCCAGCATTTTGGCTGATTTGATTAGGAGGGGGCATCCAAAATAAGGGTGACAAATCTGTTAGCCAGTCCCAATATGTTGCCCTGGCAAGGACCTTGTATGAGATCTTTGTAACAATTGGTGTCTCTAGATAGGCAGACAGATGGACAGACAGAGCAATTGTTAGTAGGATCAGCAGCATCAGGAGCCAAGAGTAATCAGAAGCTATCAGTAAAGTAAAATGAAAATATTTTAAAAAGATAACCAACTAGAGGGTGGGGTAGTTAGTTAGTAGGATTGAGACTAGAGAATTTGAGAAAATTCACAGTGGTGGGGGTTGTGGGTCTTGAGAATTGTGTGTCCTAAAAAAATCTTAGCACAATTAATCTGCATTCCAGCTTCAGTCTAGCCATCCCTGGGTTCCTGGAGGAGTTATGTTGTTCTTATTTCCACATGTAGCCTAATAGCTGATTTCCCATTGCTAGTGTAACCGCAATGAATATCTATTTCCAACAACTCCAAAGAGCCTAGGTGGCATTCTTTCTGTAGGTTGGGAACTGGAGGTGTGTATCAAATATTTATCAGCAAATATTGGCTATGTTGGGAGATTTCTGAATCATTTGTTTTATACTTTCTGCCTAGTCTCTGAATGGATTGAGCAAGCCTAAGTCATTTTTTTCTTGAAAATGCACAGCCACTTTCTCTGGGGGCATTTGATGAGTAGGAAGCATGGCTGTGTACCCACCTCAGGCCTGACAGTCCTGCTCAGTGAGGCATCAGGGCCCCATATGGTAAAAATCGTTCCATGACAAGTCTGGTTTATTCCAGTTGTTGCTTCTATTGAAAATCTTGAGGAAAACCTTTTCATGTTTCTCACCTGAGTGCAGTGAAGGTTTCTGGACTGCCTGGGAAAAGGTTTAAAGGAAGGTTACATTATTAATCAATATGCTTTTATGCCCAGTTATCCCTGACCAGAGATGAGTCCTTCACATTGCTCTTAGCAGTCCCTGGAACTTAATTCAACCCTTGTCATCTCTGACAGTGTTTTATGGTCTCCTGCTCTGGCTGCCAATCTTAAGACAACCTCGATTTTGGAAGAAATTTCCATTCTCTTCTTCTACTGTACGAGAAAAAAAGGTACAATTTTGTAGCTATTCAGGGTAGAAAGATGTTTTATCACTGAAGGAGTGAATTCTTGGATGTGTTAATATATCTCCTTTCACAGGTATGTTGAAGGACATTTTACTTCTGGCTCTATTTTTTTATTTTTTTAATTTTTATTTATTTATTTTTTTTGAGACGGAGTCTCGCTCTGTCGCCCAGGCTGGAGTGCAGTGGCGCGATCTCGGCTCACTGCAAGCTCCGCCTCCCGGGTTCACGCCATTCTCCTGCCTCAGCCTCCCGAGTAGCTGGGACTACAGGCGCCCACAACCACGCCCGGCTAATTTTTTTTGTATTTTTAGTAGAGACGGGGTTTCACCGTGGTCTCGATCTCCTGACCTTGTGATCCGCCCGCCTCGGCCTCCCAAAGTGCTGGGATTACAGGCGTGAGCCACCGCGCCCGGCTGGCTCTGTTTTTTTAGATGGTGTCTAACTCTGTTACCCAGTCTGGAACGCAGTGGTGCAATCTCGGCTCACTGCAACCTCTGCATCCGAGGTTGAAGCGATTCTCCTGCCTCAGCCTCCTGAGTAGCTGGGATTACAGGCTGCACCACCACGCCCAGCTAAATTTTAGTAGAGATAAGGTTTCGCCATGTTGGCCAGGCTGGTCTTGAACTCCTGACCTCAGGTGATCCACCAGCCTCAGCCTCCCAAAGTGCTGGGATTACAGGTGTGAGCCACTGCACCTCGCCTCATTATTAAAAAACAAACAAACAAACAACAACAACAACGAGAAAAACAGTTAATTGCCAAATGTTGCATAAAACATGGCAACTTGCTTTCAGAAACCGTTTTTTATAAATCTGGATGTACATTAAAGTTAATATGGATCCCCTAGGTATAACCCCTTGAGAACAGGAGAAAATAGACATCACTACCATTATCTTTCTGTTAGAGGCCAATCAGCATTAATAATATACCTGGCATTTGCGCACTTGCCAAGTGCTAGTCACTGAGGCACAGAGTATTGATAACTTGCCCAAGGTCTCACAGTAAGAAGCAGATACATATGCAGCACTATCCTGCTTTCATGACATTATGTCCATAAGCTCAGACTCCAGAAAACTTAAACGAAGCCTTCATCCACAGAGCATGGAGATCTGAAGGGAAAACCTAGGTGTGAGCAATGAGATATTTGATCTCTCTAAAGTTTCCTTTTTTTCTGTAAGTAGAAGAAATAGGCTCCCCTGAGGATTATATTTCAAGTAAAAAGTCAAGCAGTCACTGCGTTGTATTGCTACCCACTGTGTGGCTGCCCTCTATTAGGCACTTTCACAATGAGGTTACAGATCAGAAACAGGCAGTTCAGGGGCCAGCTGATGAGAGACGGACAGAGGCCTGCCTGGGGTATACACTTGTTTTACATGAAGCTTGTCTTTTCTTTATACAGAGCTGTGCTCCATGCTGCTTACATGGCTGTTTCATGTCCTAATTAATTTTGGGGGCTCTCTGTTGGATTTTAATTACAGATCTATTAATCCATTGGAAGAGTTGACAGGTGTTGTAGGTTGGTCATAGCAAATTAAAAGGCAAGTGCTGGGTAGGAAGTCCTGAAGACTCTTAGTAATTCACTCACAAAAAAACTTGCCACTTGAAAGTGGGGAGCACAACCAGAATATGTTTAGCTACCTAGAACGCATTTTTAAAAGGAAAGACACCGAGGCTGAAAACACTGACTCAGTTTGGGCTTGCATTTTCTATTGAGGTGGGAAGGGATGTCATTAATAGAATGAATGAGGATGGGATTGGGCTGGGTCACCTGGAAAAACTTGAGCAAAGTCCCATGGGATGATATAAACACAATGCTGGCAAAAACGAATAAACAGTTTATTTCTAGCAGGGTTTGTCCTCAAACCTCATTATAGTCATGCAACACATAAGAACGCTAAGGTCAATAACAGGTGGCATATCCGATGGTGGTCCCATAAGATTATAATGGAGCTGAAAAATTCGTATCACCTAGTGACATGACAGCTGTCCTGACATTGTAATGCAAAGCATAATTCATGTGTTTGTGGTGACACTGGTGTAAACAAACTTACTGCTCTGCTATGTGTATAAAAATATAGCAATACAGTTATGCACAGTTCATACTACTGATAATACTAAATAATTATGTTACTGGTTTATGTATTTACTATGCTTTTTATCATTATTTTAGAGTATATTTCTTCTACCTATTAAAAAAAGTTAACTGTAAAACAGCCTCAGGCATTGTTATCACAGGAGATGGCATTGTTATCACAGGAGATGACAGCTCCAGGTATGCTACCGTCCCTGAAGACAGTGGGATAAGATGTAGAGGTGGAAGACAGTGACACTGACGATCCTGACCCTGTGTAGGCCTAGGATAATGTATATGTTTGTGTCTTAGTTTTTAACAAAAAAAGTTTAGAAGTAAAATAATAATAATTTTTTAAAAAAGGATATATAGCCTGAATAAGGATATAAAGAAAGAAAAGAAAATATTTTTGTTTGGCTGCACAATGTGTTTGTGTTTTAAGCTAAATGTTATTATAAAGGAGTCAAAATGTTTAAAAATTATAATATATATAAAGTGTATTAGGGTTCTCTAGAGGAACAGAACTAATAGGATGTGTGTGTGTGTGTTTATATATATATAATATATATATTATACATACATATTATAAAATATATATATTATACACATATATATATATATAAAGGGGAGTTTATTAAGTATTAACTTACATGATCACAAGGTCCCACAAGGCAAGCTCGAGGAGCAAGGAGAGCCAGTCCCAGTCTCAAAACTGAAGAACTTGGAGTCTGATGTTCGAGGCCAGGAAGCATCCAGAAAAAGATGGGGAAAAGATGTAGGCTGGAAGGCGAGGCCAGTCTCGCCTTTTCACATTTTTCTGCCTCCTTTATATTGGCTAGCAGCTGATTAGATGGTGTTCACCAGAATAAGGGTGGGTCTGCCTTCCCCAGCCCACTAACTCAGATGTTAATCTCCTTTGGCAACACGCTCACAGACACAACCAGGATCACTTTGCATCTTGCCATCCAATAAAGTTGACACTCAGTATTAACCGTCACATAACGTAAAAACGTTATAGTAAGCTAAAGTTAATTTATTATTAAATATTTAAAATAGATTCAGTGTAGCCTAAGTGTACAGTGTTTCCATAGTCTACAGTGGTATACAGTAATGTCCTAGGCTTTAACATTCACTCACCACTCACTCCCTAACTCACCCAGAGCAACTTCCAGTCCTGCAAGCTCCATTCATGGTAGGTGCCCCATAGGGGTGTAGTTTTTTTTTTTTTTTTTTTTTTTGAGACGGAGTCTCGCTCTGTCGCCCAGACTGGAGTGCAGTGGCTGGATCTCAGCTCACTGCAAGCTCCGCCTCCCAGGTTTACACCATTCTCCTGCCTCAGCCTCCCGAGTAGCTGGGACTACAGGCGCCCGCCACCTCGCCCGGCTAATTTTTTTTGTATTTTTTAGTAGAGACGGGGTTTCACCGTGCTAGCCAGGATGGTCTCGATCTCCTGACCTCGTGATCCACCCGTCTCGGCCTCCCAAAGTGCTGGGATTACAGGCTTGAGCCACCGCGCCCGGCCGGGTGTAGCATTTTTTAATATCTTATACCGCATTTTTACTGTACCTTTTCTATGTTTAAATATGTTTAGGTATACAAATACTTACCATTGTGTTCCAATTGCCTATAGTATTCAGTAGAGTAACATGTTGTGTAGGTTTGTAGCCGAGGAGCAACAGGCTATACCATCTAGCCTAGGTATATAGTAGCCTAAACTGTTTAGGTTTGTGTTAAGTACACTGTGTGGTGTTTGCACAATGATGATGAAATCACCTAATGATACATTTCTCAGAACTTTTCCTTGTCATTAATCGATACATGCCTCTGCAAAACTTTAGAAAGAATTTGAATTATGGAGAATTCTTTTTAGCCTTAATTAAGAGGCTAGAACCAAAGCTGGGGAAAATGACCACTTTTTCCTCCTAAGTGCACTTCCAATTTTGGAACTTTGTCCCATTGTTCAGAGAAGCAGCCATTCCAAGAGAGCTGGAGTGCAAAAAAGCCCCTTTACCCCAGTTCAAAGATATCCGTGCCCTGGCTGTGCCCTGGCCTAGCCCTGGGAAAGGGGACATCGGAAGTGACAGAGCTGGTCAGCCTCTTCTCATTTGGAAGCAGCCCTAGCTGTATCTGGTGGTTGAAGGAACCCTACAGAAAGAGGAGAAAAATCCGTGCAAATAAGATGGCATTTTATCACATGTTAAAACTTCTACCCTTCACAGCACAACCTGCCAACTAGGTCTGTCATCCAGCACTCCTGCCCCTTGAAGGCTGAAGCATTTTCCTCCTCACCCTGACTCATCCCTGGGCAGGAGCAAAAGCAGGATGGGGAGAAGAAAGGAGCCTTGAGTTGCCCATAGGGGTCAATACCTGCCTCTGTTTGGAAATCAAACAACCCAAATGTTGAGATTATAAGGCAGGATTTCTTTCTGTCAACAAAAGCATCCTCTTAGGAATGAATTGGAATTACAGAGAAAACAACTTAGAGCCTTTGAGAACTTCCTAATTAGCAGAGTGGTGAGACTGTAGAATAAACAAAGAGAATGGAAGATCTTTTTAACACCTAAAAGGAAAAGGTAAACAAACGTAGTAAGTAGTGTCATTACAGTAAGTTATTACAAACGTAATAAGTAGTAGGAAGAAGTTAAGTAGGCCTCCTACCTTTTCAGCATAATTCTTCCCTGTCTTTTAAGACCCTCCAATTAGGTGCCCCTTGTGTTTACTTCCAGCACACACTTGCATATTTACTATGATATCTATTCATGGACAGAGAATGTAGTCTATTCTACTTCTAAATATTGCTTTTCATTACAGAAACATGGTGTTATTTTTAAGAAGAGTTACCAAAACAACTAAATTCTAAATTTTGCTTTTCCTTACAGAAACATGGTGTTATTTTTTAAAAGAGTTACCAAAA